AAGGCCAAACGTGGCTCTTGCTCGTTATGAATAGCAATTGCTCTGCTTATTGCTATTCATAATGCCATGTTCACTAAATAATCGTTGTTTATGATTATATTTGACTTTGATGTTGTCAAGATCGGATCAGAGGAAATCCTGGCTTCCATATGGATGTGGCTTGTTGTCTTCTGAAAAACACATGGCTATAAAAATTTCTACCTGATCATTGTACCTTTTCTCTAATAATCACAAATTGAATTTATAGAATTTACCTCTTACACAGTTTTTTTTGTCGAAAGATAAAGCCAAAATAGAATTTTCAATATATATATATATATATATATATATGATTTGCAATGGGATGTAAAAGAAAAACAACAACTTAAAGGTAAAAGGTCTTTGCAACACTGTTGGTGAAACAGAAATGAGAAATTTCAAAAGCATTTTGATTATTTTCAGATTTCGATGAAGATGAAGTAATCGGTAGAGAAGACTTAAAGCAGATGATTGACAGGTTGACGGGTGAAAAGACTCTCGGAGAATCGGACATGGAGCAGCTTATTAACTCTGTAAGTACAACAACTTATTGTCTCTGTATGTAAGACAACTTATTGACTATGTATGTAAGACAACTTATTGACTCTGTAAGTACAACAACTTACTGTCTCTGTATGTAAGACAACTTATTGTCTCTGTATGTAAGACAACTTATTGACTCTGTAAGTAAGACAACTTATTGTCTCTGTCAGTAAGACAACTTATTGTCTCTGTCAGTAAGACAACTTATTGACTCTGTAAGTACAACAACTTACTGTCTCTGTATGTAAGACAACTTATTGTCTCTGTCAGTAAGACAGCTTATTGACTCTGTAAGTAAGACAACTTATTGACTCTGTAAGTAAGACAACTTATTGTCTCTGTCAGTAAGACAACTTATTGACTCTGTAAGTACAACAACTTACTGTCTCTGTATGTAAGACAACTTATTGTCTCTGTCAGTAAGACAGCTTATTGACTCTGTAAGTAAGACAACTTATTGACTCTGTAAGTAAGACAACTTATTGTCTCTGTCAGTAAGACAACTTATTGACTCTGTATATATGGAAGACAATTAATCAAGTTGACTCTGTATGTAAGACAACTTATTGTCTCTGTCAGTAAGACAGCTTATTGACTCTGTAAGTAAGACAACTTATTGACTCTGTAAGTAAGACAACTTATTGTCTCTGTCAGTAAGACAACTTATTGACTCTGTATATATGGAAGACAATTAATCAAGTTGACTCTGTTTGTAAGACAAGTTATTGATTCCGTATGTAAGACAAGTTATTGATTCCGTATGTAAGACAAGTTATTGACTCTAATATGACATGTGATATGGATTTTAGTATGTGATATTCTGTTTATCATATATTTAAAATACTTAATATGCGAGTTCACATATGAGTTCACATATGGTCATTGAAGAATGCTTCGTGCTTTTTTATGACATTTTTCTTTAAAATCTTATAGAGCCAATTTTAGTTACTGAAAAAAATTAAGACCACAAATGTCATTTAAGATTTTTTTTTATATGAATATTTAAATAATATCAAGTAAATTAACTTTTAAACTTTATACAAACGTGCCTTCCAGTTTGATATGGATTTTCGGCCCGCCGGTCCGATACGTGATATCAATTTTCGGACCGGTCCGTGATATGGGGTATTGTGACGTCACCCGTATCACACCGAGCAGAATTGGTGTATTTACTACTAAGGATGTGATAAATATATATTATTATAACAGTAAGTTGATCCGAAGGGTTGTATCACGTCGAGTTGACAGGCGCGGATCATCAGATAAAACGACCCGCGCCTTTCAATGTGATGCAGCCCTTCGGATCAAGTTACTGTTATAATGATAAATTCATTATATACCTCCTTATAACTGGCTAAATATACTAAAATAAACCTTTAGAGATCATTTGTGTAATATTAATCCATTAAAGAAAGCATAATAAAAAGGGACTTTTTAACGTGCAAGAAAAATAACGTCATATTTCTGCGTACTACGTCATCAGTTTCAGAGAGTGGTGATATGGATTCAGAAAACCACAGTGTGGTGATCCGGAAAGTCGGATCACGACGTCACGTGATTGCGTTAAATCTGCAGTAAAACTGAGTGATACACATTAGGTATAACTGTATATAATAAGAAAACTTATTGACTCTGTATGTAAGAAAACTTATTTACTCCGTATGTAAGACAACTTACATTTATTGACTCTGTATGTTAGACAACTTATTGACTCTGTATGTAAGACAACTTATTGACTCCGTATGTAAGACAACTTATATTTATTGACTCCGTATGTAAGACAACTTATTGACTCTGTAAGAACGATACCACCTGCATTCAACAATCATTGATGCTTCAAATATAATCAATACATATCCATGCAGCTTGGATCCAATTTAATGTTACTAATTTTGTTTAATTTTCAAGGCTTCCCCTAACTTTATGCAGATAAGTAATGAAGATGCCTTCCACAAAGCAATTATTTATATATCGAAGCCTGCTAGGGAGATCATCTAACTATTTTGATGACGTCATGTAATAAAATCATATTATCGATAAAATTTTATGATTTTATTGCACGGAAATTAAAATCAAAGAACAACTGTAAAATCTATATTTGACATGAGAAATAGACGATTACAATATTCAGTATGGAGATGTGTATTCAGAAAGATTTCTTTCTTTAGATAATGGACGAGGCTGATCTAGATAACGATGACGCTTTGTCGTTTGCTGAGTTTGAACACGTCATGACAAAAAACCCCGAGTTTGTCACGTACGTATGTTTCTATCTTTTTGCATTGTATATATACACATGTTTTTATTATTTATTGAATTTTGCCTGAAGCTGCAGGTTTATTTAAGGAATTAATTGGTTTAACCTATAACTGTCATGTGATGCATGTACCCTACTGAGCGCAAACTGTATGGAAGTATAATTTGGATAGCTTTTCATTAAGCGTTTTCTCAAGGTGGACGTCAAATTCTACACATTTAGATAAATATAATAGGCATTGTGAGGAAGCTTACATAAATTGGTTATTATTAAGGGAATAATGTTTTCTATCCAATGAAATGATGGCGTGTTTATGCTGGTGAGAATTAATATTTTCTATTCAATTTTTATGGCAGAATTAATTTTTCAACTCTTTTTCAGGAGTTTCAGGATTCGCATGTAATATCTGTGACACCCGGAAGATATTTCTTGACAGTAAAACATTTTGTGATAGCATCCTTGTGACATCTGTAAATATTTCCATGAAACTTGTTAATATCTTTATGGCGCTTGCAAATATAATTATGACACATGATTATACATGTATATGTAGGCAAGATATTTCAATGCTTTAGTAACATTTTGTACGCAGGGAATAGATACTGTTATAAAACATTTACTGTAGAGAATATCTGCATGTTCTGTCCCAACTTTAAGTTTTCAAGAAATTTTAAAATCACTGGCAGACAACTTTTTAATAGAAATAGAGAATGCATAATACCCTTCAGAAGCAGTGCAATGAGACTACCATAAAATAATATATTTTTATTTTTTAATTTATCATTATGTGAATTTCCATGAATTTGTACAGTTTATTTTCCTATAAAAAATTTGTTGTCCGTAATTGTTATCCATAGCTCTTTCATATTTTGTTCTGATTAAAAGAATTTCTATATCATTAAAACTTTATAATTATGTTGTTTTTGGAGGACCAGAACTTTCAACAAACTGTTGGAAATGCTATTGGTACTATTTGTGCTCCTTTTTTCGCCAGCCTATTTTTATAATCCTGTAAAGCAGAATTTTTTTACGATAAAATACTTACTCCACACTCGCACTTTTCGTTTCGTTACGGTGTTTACATCTTCCAACTTATTTGATACCCACATACGTACTCCGAGTACAATCAAACCGATATAGACTCCTGAACCATCATTCAAGAAATGAATGACGCATGTTATTTGGCAGCTTAGTTATGATGAATCATTTTTCAGTGGCAAAGTAAGATTTCAACAGTGGCAAAGTAAGATTTTGAAATCAATTCAAGTGCAGAATCAAAGAACAGAATGTTATTGTACACGCATTATCATTTTTATCTTGTCAGAATGATCTCAAATGTATAACAATTGCAAAACACATACGGGTAACATCCTGCAGTTAATTCTTTCAATAAGAATGGAAGTCGTTACTTTTCTTACCTTGTATTCGGTCTAATGCAAAATTTAGAAATGCACACACGTACTCTGTGGTTATATTAAAAGTTTCTTGAATTTCAGATTGACATTGTAATTTATAGAGACCAGGTTTTCGAAAAAACTGAAGAAAATCACATGTGTAACAATTGCGTCACGCTTTAATATCAGGCCTATTTTTGTTTTCATATGAAGTAGTATTTATCTATTCAAAATCAACTCTGATACATGACAAAGAGAACACTTGCTGTGGCCTTCTATTCGATAATTAGATATATATCGACAAATAATTATCAATTAACTATTGTGATTTCCATTTATATTTTTACTAAATACATGTAAATCCTAGTGAGTTTGAAATAAAAAAAAAAGATACAACAGAGCCACACAAATCTTTTTTTTTTCATATTAGGATATTTCACTCGAAAAAGACGTTAATGATAACCTGACAACAAACCTTTATGTTAATTCTAATGACTTAAGCTAATCAATCATCAACTTCCTTACTTATGTAGCAATATGCCCTTATACGGATTTTTTGTTTTTTTTTCCCTGGATCATGACAATGAGTATACGGCAGGTGTGGCCGATCAGCAGGGGATGCTCGCTCATCCATGACACCTGATCAAGCCTCTGATATTTCAGAGGTCTGTATTTGCTCCGCTCCTGATTTGTATTTTTAATGGACTTTTGATCTTTATTACTTTCTGTTGTGTCTACCTCATTCCATATTTTTAACTTGCTGTCCAAATAATAATATGATAAATATAAAGATTTGCAGAATTTTTTATTTATAAACATAACTGATTGTGATTACTTTCAGGGTGTTTAGTATCTCCTGTGTTTCTTGTGATGTCTACCACAGAGATGGGTGACGTCTATCCCACGGTAGTAAAACCGAGCAGTACATCCGTTGCAGAAACCCCTGAAATATATGTGCTTAGTGAAAACGCAGAACTGCGTATAACATGTAGAAAAATTTCATTTCATTATTTCTTAATATCAATTTAAAATCATAAGCGCTTAGAAAAACTGGAAACTCGCTTAAAAGTTTGATTATATAGCTGAATGATTTTTAAGTAATTGTAAATACTTATTTTTACAAAAATGAAATTAAATTGTTTACTTACACACATCTAGCGAAGGGGAAGTTATCGCATCTCTGTACCTGGCATGCCGGAACATAGCAAGCAATGTAGGGGCATCTACCTCCTTAACGAAGAAAATAGTTTTAGGAGTTCAATATTTTTTTAAAAAGAAAATGTACCTTAGATTTTCGAAAATCATGTAAATTTATTAAATAAAGGACATGCGAGAGATGTGTTGTAGGAAGATAGAAATATTCTAATTAACACAACATACCAATATCACATATCAGTATGTTATTTCACTTACCGCCAGGGAGAGTTTGTCCACCATAAAATCCGCCACCTTGTCCTCCGAGATATCCGCCACCTTGTCCTCCAAGATATCCGCCACCTTGTCCTCCAAGATATCCGCCACCCTGTCCTCCTAGATATCCGCCACCTTGTCCTCCAAGATATCCGCCACCCTGTCCTCCAAGATATCCGCCACCTTGTCCTCCAAGATATCCGCCACCCTGTCCTCCAAGATATCCGCCACCCTGACCTCCAAGATATCCGCCACCCTGTCCTCCAAGATATCCGCCACCCTGTCCTCCTTGATAGTCGTCGTAAGATGAATAGTGATGTCTAGGACGGCCGTATCCTTTAGAGTACTTACTGCATGTTAGACCCTAAAAAGTTAACACACATTCAATTTTTCCTCGATAAAGTCGAAATTGAAAGTGTTTAAAGTAATATTCAATATCATTTTCACTTTTTAGAAATAAGCTAGTAGAAAAAATATCATATTGAAAAAAATCATATTTTGTCATAATCTTCGCATTCATTGCAATATTTAAGATAAGGACATTTTACCAGCAGTGTGGCGAGAAACAAGAAAGCAACAGCAAACTTCATGGTTGATCGTGGTCTCCTGGTGAAGAATTGAAGATCTTGCTCATTTATATATACATGCGTAAACAAATAATATGCAACGCACGATGAAATCTAAATCCGGGAGGACACGTGCTCAGAATCTCTATCAAGATTTAAAAGAAAATTGAAATTTTAACTTCAATTTTGATAATTATTGGAAAAACATTACCGGAATATTATTAAACGATTTTCAACTTTGATTTTTTTTAAATACAGCAATCAATTTCTTTAATTCTGACAAACAATACTTCCTTTTAATATCTGTCAAACTTGGTTAGAGGACATCTGTTAAACAGCTTGAAAAAGAGTGCATCGTGTAAATAGAATGAGTTCAATAACATTCTAAATTAATAAAGTTATAAAGTTTTCATCATATAATCAAAAACAAAGATTATATACTAAGTATATAACAAATATATTTATATAGAACCTGTATATTTTTTAACTTACATAATTTAACATAGATCTGAAATATTTTGTAGAGGACAATAAATGAATTTCATGAAAACTCAAAACAAGTTTAAAAATCCGATTCAGAGAGAGAGAGAGAGAGAGAGAGAGAGAGAGAGAGAGAGTAAAATTGTTGATAAAGTTGACAAAAAGGGAGTCTAAGATTAATTATTTTACGGGGTAAATCAATATCAGTTGATAATTTTAACTTTATTTCTAAACAATTCTGTAAAATACGTTCTTTTTTTTTTTAACCTAATGGTACTATTATTGTGGGATTTAACTGATCGTGTTGGAATTTCCAATGTTTGACAGGTCAATGATCTCATGTCTAAGACCTGTCGATATTCGGAATTTCCAACAAAATACCAGAATAAACACAAACGTATACATGTATATGAAGTTCTCTAAAAAAAACATTACAATTTATATAAAATTCTGGTCTATCATGTCTCTAAAGGTTTAAAGGAATATGAATTTTGGTAGAAATAAGTTGTTGGATTAATTTGTGAAACCTTAGGGAAAAAATTACTATTTCGTAAGCATCTTATGTGTACCTTGCATACTCATTTATGCATGTCATAGTCTGGGGAAAAAATGTAAAAGACTTTTTTTCTATTTGTACAATGGTTTTTATGTACATTGTGCTGCTGATATATAATTTTATCCCTTTTTCTAGCTATTTTTTTTTTATTGCAGATAAAAAGATTTTATCATACATGTATATACCAGTAATTGCATTTGAAAACGAGTTCATTTAGAATACTTTTTTGCATGAGATAAGCAAATATATATATAGAGTTTATAATAAAAATTTCTGTGATATTAACACCAAATGAAACTCTAAATTAAATATTTGATATTTTTTGCATTTATATCTTCAATTAAAATTTGGTATATCTGTAAATTAATTGAAGATAGGCATAATCGATTCAATATATTTAATAATTTAAATTTAATATATTCAAATGAATTACAGATAAATTAAGGTTTTGCCAAAGGTTAACATGTCCAAAAATTTATTTTTACATTACCTCCAAGACTATGTGGTTCAAAAAGTTAAAACTTTTACAGTTTATAAATAAATCATTGATTAACATATAGAAAATATCATTGGATAACAAATAATTAAAATATATATTTTTGAAAGAAAATATATAAAAAATTTAAATATTTTATTTTTAAAAACAGGCACTCTCTTAATTCTGTACTTTTAGTTTAAACCATCATTGCAGAAATAATATATGTTTATCAATGAAGGGCACGTTGGACGTGAATGCTCTCTCAAAGACTGTTATTGAAAGCATAATATGTATAAAGATAAGACCCTTGTAAAATATAAAATCAAAATATTTGTTATAAAAATTCTGCATCTGAAATTGCTGTAACAAATAGAAGACTTTAACGGTAAGAGATAGAAATATCTCAATTTTCACAGTTTAAAGGAAGGTATAAATAAATGTTATACTAGTTTAAGTAATTAATGAAAATATTGCCAAAAGAAAGTAGAAGTGGACATTTGTACTATAGTTTAGAATTGAACGAGTTGACAATAAAATAGTCCTTTTTATTAGGAATAATTTCCTCGGAAAGTTACCTCTCTTTTCAGAGGGATATTACATCTTCAATTTATATTAATTGAAAACTTTATTTCTAAATGAATAATGTATGATAAATTAAACTTTCTTCAATGCATTTGGTTCGACAAACAACTGATTGTTAAAACAATCTTGCACATATATCTGAAAATATGTTTAATTTTTTAATAAGGCCTATACCATCGTCGCAAACCACAGCCAAAATGTACGATCCCCTCCCACTCTGATTGAAGACAACTTTATGAGGACTCCGAATCGTGGCTTGAGACGATGGGCCTATGCCCTATCTGTGAATTCCCTGAATTGGTCTTCTTCTTCTTTTTTTTTTTTTTTTTTCTTAAAGCATCTTCTCAATTTTTTTTTCAAACCTACTGTGTTTACCATTAAAGTTTTTTCATGTTTGAAAAATTGATGAAGGCGTGAAGATAGATTTCTCACAGAAACCTCATACGTGTAAGTACCAAGAAGATTATTATTAAGTTTGCATAAGCTTGCCAGGGCAGACTATATTTAGTAAATATATATCTATATTTAGTAAATATAGATGCATGTATATTGATCGAAAACTTAAAGAGGAAATTTCTCTCGCCTTATTAATTTGTGTTTGATTTGTGATAAAATAAATTCATATTAAACCAAAAACACAAAATTATTATATCTTACCGTGGCAAAAAGAAACTATTTAAATAAAATCATTATGCCAATTAAAAAAATGTTTAAAACAATGTTTTAGTGCAGTAAATGAAGAACATTTCAAATTTCATGTTTAAAAAAGTATTTTTTTTTTAAATTAAAGTAGACTTTCTTGGAAATGTAAAATCATTTAAAGCAATATGAGCTGCAACTTTGATGTCGGATTTTTTTGTTGCAAAATTGTAAATAACTATTTCAATAACAGAAAAAATAACGTTAATAACTTCTGCTGTTCATGTTTTCGATGGAAGAACTATTTATAAGCTTCGATTGAATCAAAATTACATTAATTTTGTCCTGTACAATAAAGATTTCTTCTTTAAAACTGTATGTTGGATTGTATATAGAAGTCTTTCTTCTGTTTTATTTTAGTCTAATTGATCATAAATGTTTAGTTACATAAAAATTTTCAATAAATTTTCAAAAATGCAGCTCATATTGCTTAAAAAAATCAAACACAAATTGATAAGGCAAGAGAAATTGCCTTTTTAAGTTTCCGATCAATATATATGTATCTATATTTACTAAATATAGATATAATTATATATACATGTATATTTTCTTTAAAAAAAGTCTGCCCTGGCAAGATTATACAAACTTAATAATCTTCTTGGTACTTACATGTATGAGGCTTCTGTCCGTGAGAAATCTATCTTCACGCCTTCAAAACCCCATTGCCCAGATTAAAAATGCATGTAAATGAAAATAGACATGCATGTAGCTGTTTGAACTTTGAAATTGGTTGTTTTGATTCGCCGAGTGATTTGAAAATGGAGTGAATAAAACCTTACCATTATTTAAAAATATTTGAAAACAAAATCTACAACAGATCGAACGTTTTTGATTTAAAAAAAAATAGAATCTCTTGACAGAATTATTTTAAAAATAGCATGTTCATAAGATTTTTATTTATTTAGAATCCACTACTTTTACTCATTATTAATATTTCGAAGTGAAAGTTCTCTGTTTTTCTTCATAGTTTAGTAAAACAATAATAATCGGGAAGACATTATTTAAATCTACATTGTATACAATCTAGGACACATCTGTCTATGTAACAAAATTTAATTTTCTAATTCTTAAATAACTGTTGAAACGACTGTGTTATGATTTAGCAAAAATTTCAAGAAAGAGGCATTTTTTGCCCAAAAAGAAATTAAATCTAGGGAATTCTTACTCACAATAGATACTTGGTTTTATACCTAAATTAAAGTTTGTTTATTGACATGATGTTTTCCTGTGAAACCCAGAATGGCAGTTTATATTTTTTAAAAGATTTTTTCTATTATGACGATAGATCATGATAAATGGTGACATGTAAATTTCCTTAAATAGATATAAAAATTGATATGTATTTGATATGAATTATGTATTTGCCATCATTGAATTCTCTTCAAAAAATATAGTTAACATACAAAGCATGAATATTTACTTTTTAATAGAACTTTCATTGAACTAGAATACTTATCAAAAACATTAGAAAGATATTCTTAGAGATGCGATAGTGTGCTGGTGACAAGTTTAAATAAATTTGCATGTTACTAGAAAAAATACATTTTTTTTTATTTATACAAAATTTTATTCACATAAGTGAATGGGATTGGGCAGCAGGCAAAGCCTATTTTAGCCCTCTCCCTAATAATACACTGTAGATTACATTGTAGATTACAAAAACTCAAGAAATTATACAAATTTATTCAAAGGAAATAAAACACGGAGTCCTGGAAATTCAAAATCGAAATGGCTGGATCAGGCGCTCGAGATTTCATGAAGGCCTATATAATGCATTTTTAAAAGGTGCTTTGTGAAAACATTAATAATACCATGTAATTATATGTACATTATGTAAAATAAAATTTAATGAAGACATAATCAAGTGTATAATACATCTGTTTTAGATACACGTATTTGCAAGAAGGATTACTATTTCGACCATAGAAGTTTGAAAATGTTGAATTTCAATGGACTACTGATATCCTTAATTCATCAATTTATTTGGCAATAGCTTGCTTTGTTTTCGAAATTATTCGTACGTAGGACATACTCTAGCGTAACGTGAAATAAATATGATTAAGGACGGATGATACAAATTTTTGTCAGAAAGTTTGAAAATAATAACTTGGGTCATGTTTAAATGAGTTAAATAAATAAGTTTTATCGCGTAGGTTTTAATTTTTTATTAAAATTTTCACAAAAATGGGATTTGAAGTGAAAAATATTTGTATAGATTAATAAGGATGGTTTCAGAGGGGCAGACTTTTGAACCTCACAGAAGGTTTACAATTTCTTTTTATTCTAGAAATTTATTATTTGTATCATTTGCAATCAAATTAGGCCAAAAAATATATACCAATCCAGGCATCCATTATTTTGTTTGTATCATCTGTCCTTAAGATAATGTATTAAAATGTAAAATGCCTTTTATTCAATAAGGTATTGGAAACTGGTGCAATATATTAAACAAAGAGGTCAAAGTGGTTAAAGAAGGTCTCAGATCAATCAGCATCAATAAGGAAGGTTAATTATAACTCCTAATTATTATTCCTGATTATTACTCCAAACACGATTCTGTCCGGAATCTGGGCAAAACCAGGCTTGACACTATATAATGGATCGAGAACAAATTTATTTATGATTATGTAATTAAATCTGCTTTCTACAAAGCGGTCTCTTCCTGATTTGATTAAATCATTAGGGGATCCGTCATATGTTTAATTTAAAGAAGCAATAAATCAAAATGTTGGCAACAGGAATAATATTAAACAAAATTAAATAAAAGGTGTACAAGGTAATGATTGTATCAGCAATATAGGGGAGGAATTCATTTATGATTACGTAACTGAATTTTTATTAAGCTTTTAAAATCCAATTGAATGTGATTCAAGGTACACTTCAATGCTAATAATAATTATTATTAATTTATCCAGTGACCCACTTATGAAGACATTTCCCCCTGTATATTACAGAGACTTACTCAGACACAATGAACTCTAGATTCAGATGATTATATTCTGTACTGACTCGGATTTCATATACATCAAATACAAACAAAACATTTATAATTTTTGTTAAGATGATAAATTATCAGCTCAAATTGTGTGGATTATGCATAAGGACACAAGAGCAAAAACTTCACAAATCCATTTATCGAACTGTAACAAAACAAACAAACCGAAAAAAACCAGTTATGTATCAACTGCAAATTATTACAAGTTACAGTAACTATAAAAAATTATAAATTATAAGAACTGCGAACGATAGTATTGTTCTCCCGCCTACCTCCAGGTCAATTTTCAAAAGTTAACATATTCGAAGAATTTTTAACATTTTTATAGATAATTATATGGATTTTTATAAAACATTACTTGTTTGGGAAAACAAAGAGAGATAACTAAATTTTTGGTAAAACTTGTGTTTTTAACTATAGAAATCAACGGAAAACGGAAAATATTTTTAAAACATCTTTCCCCCCCCCCCCGTGTCACAAAAATTCCTTTTTACAGTTAATATGGACTGTTATTTCACAAATTCATACCAAAGCTTTTTGTGTGACACGAGGGGAACATATGTTTATTGACAAAAAAACGATAAAATTGCTTACATTCCACCAATTAAAAAGAGATTCACAACTGAAACATTTTATTTTATTAACATATTTATGTTTTATTTATTTGCCTAAAATATAAGAAAAGATATAAGGAACATTTAATCACATCCAAGACTATTTCAAAATATGGTGGTGGTTGAAAGTCCGATTTCAATGGAAAATATCGTCTACCGCCCTTTTTTCAAGAGCTGGAATTTTGGATAATTTACTACTTAGCGCTGGTATTAAGGCAATTCATCATTTCCCATTGAACTGTTCTTTGTATTAAACAAAGACTTTATGGCCAAATTGCTGTTTATTTTGAATTAAATGGATCCAAAATGTAGGCGGGAATCGAGAGTTAGCGTGCGTATTTCTTTTACTCTTGGTCAAAATTCCAAATAAGAAAGCAGTGAAATACATGTAGATGTAACTGCACTCTATTTACGTTGAGATGTGCTTCTGTTTTTCCAGTGGAAAAATACGCATTTAAAGTCTTTTCTCGGCACTTGAAGTCATTGAACAGTGAACCGCGAGTATAAATAGACTTAGTTCGTCAATTGTTAACCTCAGTATTGTATAAAGTTCACCAAAATGTTAATCATTCAGCTTTTATACTATGTCTATATTAACATAAACGCAGCAGCATGGATAAGATATTATAGGATGTAAATATTTACATCTGGATAGACTGTATAAGCTTATGCCATCAGGTGTAAACAAAGCAATAAGTTCCTGTTACGACCTCTCTTTAGTTTAACAAATAAAACTTTATACTTACACTGTTAAAGTAGATAATTGTAAACAATAGTGCCGGTACAGTATCGATCTGGGGCCCTCCTGGTGTTTAGGGTGTAGTATGGGAACAACAAGGAGTGTCAGTGTATTTACAGAGGAAGAACTGAGGGACTACAGGGTGAGTCAGGGGGATGTCAGATACCCGGTATATCGTTTTATAAGCAATAAATTAATTAGCAACCCAAGTTATACTGTATAACCTGAGTTGGGTCAGTTTACACTTTATAAACCGCGAAGTGTAAAACTGCTCCAACCAGGTTATACCAGTATAACTTGGGTTGCAATTGAATACATTCTTTATAATTCAATTTTCAATCATTAAGTATAGAAAACAAGACAATTTTCTCCTTTAAATTCCTTAAGAATCACATGATTATCCTTAATATATCTTCATTTACTTTTTGAAGGACCTGACGGTTCTAACTAAAAACGAAATTCAGCAGTAAGTAACGAAATAGGTACCTGTACAATATGATTATATTTTGATTATTTTAATTTTATTATTTTTCTTTATTGTTCCAACTATCTGATTGGCTCAAACTGGATCACATGATCAAGTATAAAAAGAGTTACAGACTGGATGTTTCTATAAAATTTATAAACCTGCTGTTTCTAAAATTGGAAACGTTCTTCTCTGAAGCAACAATAGTGCTGACGTCACAATAGTATTTATAGACTGGATGTTTCTAAAAACAGATACTGCAGCTGGTTTTCATTACTGTGACGTCATAATGCAATGACATAACAATGCCTTGTATGAGAAGGTACTGAGTATTATAAAGAAGGATTTTAAGACATTTTTTATTAACTGATAAAAAATAATAAAACAATTTTAGCCTTTTGATTCGGTACAATCCCTCGATATATAGACCTTAGAGAAAGCATATCGACCTCGCACTCCGTGCTCGGTCGATATGCTTTCTCTAAGGTCTATATATCGAGGGATTGACCTCATCAAAAGGCTATAATTGTATATTGTGACGTCAGCACTATTGTTGCTTCACAGAAGAACGTTTCCAATTTTAGAAACAACGGGTTTATAAATTTTTAAAATAGAAACATCCAGTCTGTAACACTTTTTATACTTGATCATGTGATCCAGTTTGAGCCAATCAGATAGTTGGAACAATAAAGAAAAATAATAAAATTAATTATTATAATAATCAAAATATAATCATAATACAGGGATAATGTACTCTCACAAAAACAGAAAAAAAATCTGTCAATGAAATAATTTTAGCAATATCTTTGCACTTTTTATAATCATTTAATCAATTACAATATTTAGATTTATTTAAGAAGCGAATAATTATTTTTTGAAAGATAACTGCATAACTGCAATGGTGTGTGCAAACAAATTGAGTAACATTATGAAAATGTGTTTGCTCACACTGTTGCAATTATGAGACTATATCTTTCAAAAAATAATTATTCATTGCTTATATTTACATTTTTAAAACTCTCTTCCTTTACTGCGATTGTGATTTATATTTCAAACTGCATGTATTATCCTTCGTGTAAGATACTGCTAATGGATGAGCTAATATAACAGCTTCTGTTTAAAGTGAGCGTGATATTTGATTTTTCGCTTATGACGTTGCACTTCCTCGGCGTTCAACGTTTGTGACGTCAAAATAAAACATAATCTTTAACCTTTTGACTCTGTGTCTTGTATTGAATGCAGTAATTTTCTACACACTTTATATGTAAAATACACGTGTTAAGTAAAAAATTAAGCAGTTAATTCATATTTTTGGATGTCTTCGGTCCTATAACACACCTGGCCGTGCCGACAAATTAAATACCGCGCGTTAGCGCGGTATGATAATTTGTCGGCACGGGCAGGTGTGTTACACAAAATTACACTGAATGTAAATATCAAAATATATCATGACTTTAATCTCCTCCGTATAATATCAAAGAATATCATAAAGAAGTTACAGCCGACCTATCACTTTCTCAACTTGTATTTCTATTTGCTCTTTTATGATTCTTCATATAAATACATGTATAAATTTTCAAGGTAAGACTACATAAACAGGTGATTCTCAAAATAGTGACCTATTTATTCATACTTATCAGAATCCATAATGGGGAAAAACATTAACGTTGTGAATTTTGTTCTTCATTCATAATTTTCATAATATTAGATAAACTGCTGAGATTTCTATTGTTACAAGATTTTGATTTCAAACAGTGTGTACGAGAGATTCCAAGTGTTTGGTACAGAACAAAATCCTGTCACAAGGATGAGTAAAATCCCACGTGAGGACCTATATAAACTGAAGGAATTGAGGGTAGGTCCAAACTAAAAAGAGTAAAATGTCCCATGAAAATGTACACAACTAGAAAAGGAAATGAAAAGAGATTGACCTCCAATTTACCTGTGCAATACAAATTCAGAGACAGGGCCCAGACATAGACCCCCTCTACAATTCATAGACAGGACACAGACATAGACCCCTCTACAATTCATGAGGTGGAATCAGGTGCCTAGCTGAAGTAAACATCCCCTTTCTCACCGGTCACACCCACTGTGGGCTTTATGTATTGTTCATGTACATGGGGCATTCTGATGTCCAAATTATTATAAAAAACAAACAAAGGCCGAATAGATGATATGAAACATGTCAGTCAAAATACCACCCATTGATACTGTAACAATTTATTTTCTAAAATAGACATTTTAACGATTAAAGAATTAGAAAAGGCAGAAAAGGCTGACGTTCATTTAGGTAGTTGAAAAACAGAAAACGACATCAGCATATCTGTCAGTAGCCTGTCCTGGTTTCAAAATTTATGGTACTGAGAGCATTATCTTGGGTATCGAATTATTTTTGAGACTATAACACTATATTCAGGTGCACGTGAATATAACTACAAAGATAAGAAAAGTTGGACCCTGGGTGATCGTTAAGGCTCATTGTGTAGTTAGGGCTTTATGTTAAATATAAAATGGATGTGTTTCAGATTTGAGGTAACTTTAAAAATCATGTTCACTAAATGACTTTAATAAAATTTCTGAGTAATTTCATCTGTATCTGCTCTGTATCCTTTCTTTAGGTAAACCCTTTTAAAGATCGGATAGTGACTGTCTTTTCGTCAAGCGGGGACGGGTACATGTGTTTTGAAGATTTCTTGGACATGATGTCCGTTTTCAGTGAAAAATCCCCCATTCAGATCAAAGCAGAATATATGTTTAGGATATACGGTAAAGTGAATGCTTTTGAAATGCGTTCCTAAATTCATTTTTCAAGAAAAATATCAAAAAAGGAAAATTATTTCTGAAAAAGAAAGAGTCATTCTAAAGAGCTACGATATGTTTTGTGTTGATGTCTGGGAGAAAAAAAAAACAGAAACAGCCTGTTTCCGTTGTCCACGAAATAAAACAATGTTTTCACATAATGGCAGACGTTATAGACGTTATAACGTTTAACTCCTTTTCCCAAGTAAATAATTAATCTCTCACACAATGGAAAAAATCTTCATTGAGTTGATATTGACATAATAATCAATAACACGGACCTCTAAAGCATCAGAGGTGAGATGTAGGTCTAAATACCATTTACCCGCTATTTAACTAAAACATCTTTAATATTTTGTTTATTTTTTTTTTTTGGTGGAGGGTGATAAAGATTAGAAAAATATTTTTTTTAAATACTGGAATCATCAAACTTAAAAAAAAATTCGTTTGAAGAAACAAAATATGTTTATATTTTTTTTTCTAAACAGCTTCAAGCAAGATATATTGACTTTTTAAAAAAATCTATTTAATTCAGATTTTGACGATGACGGTTACTTGGGTAGGAAGGACATGAAAACGATCGTCCACAGAATGACAGGAGATGAGAAACTAAATGAAGCAGATCTAGATCAACTGATAGACGACGTAAGTGTATGATCAACTGATAGACACCGTAAGTATATAATAATAACACAAGGAGTGCAACGATTTTAGGTCAGATATCGTAAATTTATGATCAAGTGATAGACAACGTTCGCTCAAATATCCGTGTATAATCAGCTGATAGACATATGCAAAAAGAAACCGTAAGTATATAATCAGGTAATACCTTTATCTCTAGTTAATTGTGAATGATTGGGGTTTTTTTTGTTCAGATATCGTAAGTGTATTTTTTATTTACTGAAAATTTCAAGTGATAGACAACGTAAGTGATGGACAATATAAAATGTAAGTGTATAATCAACTGATAGACAACGTAAGTGTATTATCAACTGATAGAAAATATACAACGTGAGTGTATGAACACCTGATAGACAACGTAAGTGTACGATCAACTGATGACAATGTAAATCAGTGTAAGTGTATGACAACGTAAGTGTATGATCAACTGATAGACAACGTAAGTGTATGATCACCTGATAGACAACGTAAGTGTATGATCAACTGATAGACAATGTAAGTGTATGATCAACTGATAGACAACGTAAGTGTATAATCAACTGATAGATATTGTAAGTGTATAATCAGCTGATAGATATTGTAAGTGTATGATCAGCTGATAGACAACGTAAGTGTATGATCAACTGATAGACAATGTAAGTGTATGATTAAAGTGGTAGATAATTTGAGTGTATGTTCAGCTGATAGATAATTTTAATGTATTATCAACTGTTAACAACGTAAATGTATGATTAGCTGATATACAATGTATTCGTATGAGAAATTGTTAGATAATGTAAGTATTAACAACTGATAGAAACTTTTATCCTGATAGACAACTGGAAGACAACAATATATGATCAATTGCTAGAAAACGTTAATTTTAGTGTATTATCAACTGTAAACAACGTAAACGTAAATGTACGATTAGCTGATATACAATGTATTCATATAAGAAACTGTTAGACAATGTAAGTATAAACAACGTGATTAATAATGTAAGGGTTTTTATCAGCTGATAGACAACGTAAGTGTTTCATCCACTCATAGACAATGTCTAGTGTATAATCAATAGATACATGTAGACAACATTAAGTGTATACCCCCGGAAATTCCAATCATGGGATCAGGTGCAAAGGACGAGCAAGCATTTATTCCCTGAATCATGATCATTCAGTCTGTAGACCTCACAAGTGTATAAGAGAGTAATATTTGTACTTTGTCCTTAAAATTTCACAAAAAGGTATTGTAAAAGAAATGTTAACTTTCTAACAGATATACACGGAGGCGGATGTCGATGATGATGGGAGATTATCTTACCCCGAGTTTGAAAACATCGTACACAACTGTCCGGACCTTGTAGGGTAAGTCTAACAAGACCTACTTTAAACAGGATTACTTGTTATCAAATTAATTTCAAAAATGCAACAAGGCAAATGATTAAAAGCATTTCTGTAAAATGTCCAAAACCCTCAAGCTATTTATTTCTTTTATTCTTATGTTGGAATTTGTGGGAAGAAATCTCGAGAATAATGATGTTATTTACTGTTTAATGTCTTTTTATTTTATCAGGAAATTCAGATTCCGTCTGTGAATGACTACGAAAATGATATTATCAACTTTAATTTGTGTATGGGGTATTTGAAAAAAAGACAAAAATATAATTTCAGTGTATTTATTAAAAATGTTTGAAGTGATTGAGATTTATATGTAATAAACTAATTTATCAGTTACATGTGCATATTATGAGATTACTGTTTGTAATTTTTTTTTCTGTCCTTTTACTAGGATATTTTAAACATTTAATTTTTTTGTTTGATTGATTATCAGTATTAAAGAAAAGGAAATACTATGTGTTATTAAGGATCAATGATGCAAAATAATTTCCTTCAGATCAAAACAGATCAACTTTATAAAGTTATAGACTGTTTCGCTTAAGTTCATAGATTTATATTCAATAACGTGATTGATTTTATTATACATGTATATAAATGTTTCACTTACATGAGAAAGGAAATCTTTATGGAATATTTATTTTGACATTATTTCAAGACATTCTCAAGATATTCTTTTTTTCTTCAGTTTATTAATATGCAACACAAACATTCGAATCAAATAAATTCAGGGTAATATGTTTTGACTGACATACATGTACTGGAAAAAACAAATCAAATTAAAGAATTCAGACATAAATATATTTTATACACACGGAAACGTATTTTCATTCAATGTTACTATTGTCAACTGATTTATCGCCTGCCCGATCGTAACAAGGGGCACACGTCGGGTGTGACCGGTCGGCAGGGGATGATCAGTCTTCTATGGCACCTGATCCCACCTCTGATGTTTTAGGAGATCCATGTTTGCTCTGTTCCAATTTTGTATTGTTCAATGGACTTTTGAGCTTGAATACTGTTCGATATCTTCGTATATTTTATGCTTTCAAAGATTCAAATCTGTATTGTTTCATTCGTCTTTTTAGCTCCATATTACACAGATCCCAGATATACTATTTATTATTTTTAAGTTTTGTAAATAGTACGTTTTTACTGCATAAACGATACACAGTGCCAAAGTTATGCTTATTGTTTTAAATAGGTCCGGTATTCTATAATCTTTCATAAAACCATTAAAATTTGCAAATAGGTAATAAAATGATTTGCAAAACTATAAGTAACTTTGGCAAATCAAGTATTGTTTATTGAATCGCCTGCTGAAAATAGCGACACTAAGGAATCAGTTTATTCAGCGTCTGTCTGTCTATCTGTTAGATAAATTGTATATTAAATCCCTGAAAAAATTGAATGTGCATTTACTTTATTCTTCATATTTCATACACATTTTATACACATATATGTATATAACAATGACGCATAATATCGTTATATGAATGGATATTATTGTGACTCAAGTAAAGACAGAATGTTGCTCCTTGGAGGCTGACTGAATAGTCTTTCCTAAATTAAAAAAAAAATATTGCAAAAGTTAAAAATGTTTAAATTGAAATACAGGTACGACAATAAACACAATCATCAATCTACCATCAATCTATTATCAGGCGCGGATCCAGAAATTTTTTCCAGGGGGGGGGTCTACCCCAGTCAAAAAAAAAAATCCACTCCCAGAAATTTCTTGACAAGCAAAAAAACAAAAAAAAAAACCTAAACTCGTCCAAACGTCAAAAACCTATTTCGTATTTCGTGGGGGGGGGGGGGAGGGGGGGGGTTAGTTGTGACGACTAATGGCTCAAGTGTTTCACTTTTCATACCCATTTCACATATTCTATATATAATGGTAACTTTTTTCTTGTTTTATATATACATTTTTTAACCTGATTCCATCGACATAGATCCGCGCATGCTATTTATATGCAGAATATGGGGGGAAAAACTGTAATTTTTTAATCATGTACCATATATATATATATATATATATATATATATATATATATATATATATATATATATATATATATAAGTAAGTATATTATCATCTTCAATTATATCGAAGTTGATATACAATGTACCACTGTATCGTTTTGAAGTTGATATAGACACAGTGTATAAGGCTTAATGAAAAAAGTAGACATAACGAACATCGATCGATCTACAAAACTCTTCAAATACTAGTAATACAATCTTTGAAAAGACTTTAAAAAACTCGATCTTTGTAGAGTTTAAATCAGGTGCTCGGGAGGAGAAAGAATCCCGTAATTGACCGCTGTGAGCAACTCGTGACCAAAAATGTTTATAGGACAGAGAGATTATTCCGTAGTTTAATTTAGGTAAACAATGGTGTAATAATTGGTATAAGACATCTAGTATTGAATAAGCTTGGAGACTTAAACCCTATATGTAGGAACACAACATGTATCCACCAAAACTCCAACAGTATATTGGAAGACCTTGTTTTCCAAAGACTTCATAAGTGATGTCGATACAGAACTCCATTATCCCTTTATTTTCAATTTATATGTAGCATTTGAGTGGGTTTTTTTGGAAATGTTATTTCGTTGATCATTTACAAAATATTAAAAGAAATTCTGAGTTCCAAATTTTTGAAGAAGCAGTAGTTTATGAAAGCAAAAATCCAACTTTATTACGAGGAGTGACTGTAAAAAATGTATAAAATACGTATGTCTTAATTCAAATAACTTCCTATTTGGTAATTTGAAATTTTCAAGAAGTTCTCGGATAGTTTGTTGAATTTACATCTACTTAACATCACTCCTAGAATATATTTCAGCACAGTACGTCTGAAGTTTATCCTTTTTAGCCGTTAATATATTTATATTTAAGAGGATTGACAGAATCAAATCGCCACAATTATGATAGACATTTTTTTTATAACAACAAAGAGATTAGGAAATTCGTTTTATTATAATGAGTAATATATGAAAAATTATCACCATTTCAAACTCATCTCAGGAATACTTGAAAATATGTTTCAAGTTTTACCTAGTCTCTCTGTCCATCACCAGTTCAGTAAGTCTTCTTCTTCGAATTGAACTTGTTCTTCGAATTATGTTTTGTTGGCACCTTGGTCTTGTAGAGGTCTTTCGGCTTTTGGTATTTATTTTTATTCACTCCGTAGTCTTTCTTCTTATGAATCACGTGATCATATCCATTGACTTTGTATCCACCTTTATGTTTTCCCGGTTTGTGCACGCTATCTTTGTAATGTCTAGAATTGTGAGGATCAAATTCATAGCTAGGCCTCCTCAGTGGTCCAGAGAACGGCCCCATGTCAATCAAACCTCCCGCATTCCGTGAACGAATACCTCTTGGTTCCATTGGATCAAAAATGGCATCTGAAACTCTCCTGTTAAAAGGGCGCGATAGCAGACTCAGATCGCCTGCTCGCCTAGATTCCATTCGCCCTCTTCTTCTTAGATGACCAGGTGAAGGAAGTTCAAGTTCAAAAATATGATCCTTGTGTCCTTTCTTGTATCCATCATAGTCTGCTGTGTAATCAGTGTGATGATGCTTCTGTTTAAGATCCGGGTATTTATCCTTTTTATGACCATTAGGATAAATGTCATTGGGATAATCATGGTGAAGAGGATAACGGTCTCCATGTTTGTTGTTGTGAGGACCTGTTGGATAAATGTCCGTATGATATCCATCATCTGGATGTTTATCATGATATTTAGTTGGATATTTGTCATGGTGAGGGCCTCTTGGATAAACATCTTTAGAATATTTACCAGGATACTTATCTTTCTTATGTCTCTGTGGATAAATGTCAACGGGATATTTATCGTGATATTTAGGCGGATATTTGTCATGATGAGGGCCTCTTGGATAGATGTCTTTAGGATATTTATCATTATACTTATCCTTATGAAGTCCATTCGGGTATAGGTCATCGAGATATTTATCATGATGTTTGGTTGGATATTTCTCATAGCGAGGACCTGTTGGATAAATGTCTGTTTGGTATCCATCTCCGGGATATTTATCATGCTGTTGTTGCGGATAAAAGTCATTGTGAGGACCTGTTGGATAAACATCTTTCGGATATGTATCAGTATACTTATCTTTAAGATGTTCTTTAGGATATACGTCACCGGGATACTTATCATGATGTTTAGGCAGATATTTGTCATTGTGAGGACCACCTGGGTAAAGGTCTCCTTCGGGATACTTATCCTTCGGATATACGTCACCGGGATATTTATCCTGATGATTAGGCGGATATTTGTCATGGTGAGGACCGTCGGGATACTTATCCTTCGGATATACGTCACTTGGATATTTTTCGTGATGTGCTGGATAAATATCTTTAGGATATTTATCATTATACTTATCGTGGTGAGGATCTTTATAATCTCCATGAGGATACTTATCAATAGGATATACGTCACCGGGATATTTATCATGGTGGATATGTGGATAGACATCTCCGTAATGGTCACTGTGTGGATAGATATCTTTCTTATAATTATCCTTCTTGTGTTCGTGCCCTGGTTTGTACTTGCCGTCATCCTTATAATCGTGCCCTGGTTTGTACTTGCCGTCGTCCTTCTTTTTGTGGTATATTTCGTAACCAACGTCAACTCCTCTCCCTCCATTGGCCCCTATGCCATGCAGTGCCATGTTGTTTCTGTTATAAGGGTTTATCAGTTGATGTCGAGCATTGTTCATCATCATCTGTTGTCTGTTTTGCATCATATAGTAATACCACATCATGCGGTAGTAATTAAGGTAAGGGTTAACACCGGCTCCCACTGCCTGACCGAGCACCTGTTGTGGTACTCCAGGAGCAATACCGGGCACCTGTTGTTGAACCCCTGGTGCAATACCGGGCACATGTTGAACTCCTGATTCAATTCCGGGCACATGTTGGTGCATATGTGGTAATCCTGATGTGCTACTCTGAAAAAAATGAATAATTTATTGTTTAAAAATGTGTTCCTTCCTTAAAAATCTATTTCTCAATGATATATATTTCAAAAGATTGCATTCAATTGTCGTGAATCATCTGAAACTTTTTCAATTTGATATTTAAACAAGTAAGTGTTCGACTCTATTTATCAATATTTTATTGCTTACAAAAATATAGATTAAAAACTATGACAAGACCATTCTTTAAATGATATAAAAAATATAAATAAAAAAGGTAATTACTGGTTTCTACGTTAATGACCTCTTTTAGTATATTCTTTTAAATAATGAATTTCCAAATAACAAGCTTATGTTGTAAAGATACTTTCAAAGAAAAAATTAAAATAAATAAATCTATTTTTTCTGAGAAGTATTTACATACAATGTATTAGACGTTAATTAAGACTAAGTTAAGCAGATACTGACCAGAAGAGCCAGGCTTAGGACCACCAGAGGTACCATCTTCCTCGTCATCCTGAAGGTTGTAGTCAGGGTGTGCAGGACGAGCTTATATAGCCCCAGTCTCTATACCGTGATTGACAAGAAGCTTCTGAAGACAATTGATGATCTGTTAATTAATTAGCATCCGGTTTATTCCCGTTCAAAAAGGCGGCGTATATTCTTTGGTTTTTTAATGGCTGAACCTGTGACCAGAATTTATAAGTTTTCGCCTTGGAAATTCTATTTGTTAATTTTTGATAATGGACTGATTTGTAAATTAAATTTTCGTCAACAACAGGTGGTGCAGGACCAAATAGTACATTTAAGGATTACCCAAAGGAAATTACAAATATAATTAAATTAAAAAAACATTTCTATGAATTCTTGATATAAAAACAAAAATAACTGATGGTTTTGCCACTTTTCTACTCCAATGTAAATAATAAATATATTAGATTTTCAATCTTACCACTGACTCTTTTATTCAAATTCAGCAGTATAAGTTAAAGCCACCATTTCTTTCGAAAAATGGAACATCGTGAAATTCTTGGGTTTTCATCAAGGCTTTTTTGATAAGAATTAAAACTTTCAACGACTGCTACATTAAACAAAAATGCAATTTTTAAAAAAAAAATAAAGATATAATTTCAGTATCCCGTTAATGTTAACAATTTATTACAGCATGTAAAAATATCGATATAACTGTCATTTTTTATAATTATAGAGTCTGACGAACAATAAAACAGACCAATGTAAAATACCTAAAAGGATATGTTCACATGAATTTTATTTTCTGTAAGTTTAAATCTTATTTTTTGATAAATAATTCCAATTAACTGATTCAAACTTATACAAAAATTAATACAACTCCATATATGACATCTTTATAGTTTTTATAACCTTACATAAAACACCTTGGATAGTAAACATTGATACGAGCTCTGTTACTGTAAACCGGGTGTGTTCGATTTACTTACACTACTGAAATCATTGACCACGTAGAAGACAGGTGTGTTGGTTTTTCTTTCTGTCATTTTCTTACTTGCTTTTCTTGATTGAAGATTTACATGTACTATATTTAAACAATGCATCTTATTTTTTCCACAATCTTTCAAAATTAAAGAACGATATTAGTTCATAAAATAAAAAGGATGTTTGAATTACGGGTTACGGGTACGTTTACGGGTTACAACTGACACTTAAATTCCAAGTTTCGATAATTATTCCTTATATTTTAGTTGAAAACTCTTTTGCAATATATGAGCCATAAATTCAACCAAATTTTTTTAAAGTTAAAAAATTCGATTCTTCGAACCTCTATTTATTTCTCTTTAGAACACTGTAATTTTTTAAAGATTTGTTCACAAAATTAATTATGACTTTAACTACAAATAAAGGCATATGCTTTATCATAATGGAAAACAATGGGCAATAGCATTTGAAAGAGAATCATGACTTGATTTTATTCAATTCTTGGGATATTGTGGAATGAATTAATATCTTGCATGTATGGTTGAATTAGGCTTACCACTAATATATTTACTTATCTGACTTTTATTATGATTTTTTCATGAATGATTGTGCTTTATTATCAATCATTAATATTAAGATTTTATCTTTATCTGCATCAAGAATTTACATTTATAAATTAATGATTGAATGATTAAAGATGATTTTAATTATTTCATTATTTAATTCAAACAATAATTATTTATACCATGTACATTTTGTTTGTTTGTTATTTAACGTTCTTCACTTATATGGGGTGCCACCACTTGCCGGTGGAGAGCTGCAAATTTTGATGTTCATGAGTATTTTTATTTTTAATAATATTCAATATAGCTATATTCAATACTGTATTTAATACTTGTAAGTTATCTAGGGTATCACTTACATCAATTTAAAAAATTGACAAACATAAATATGTTTAATTCTTGAGTAAAGTACAGGACGTTTCTAGGTCATTACTCTCTTTTTTTCCCTAACTAATTATTATGAAGAAAATTTTTTTATTAAAAAGGTTACACTGGTTTCTTTAATCAACGAATGTTTGTCAAAAATAATTTTATATCTTCCTGTTGACTTTGGAGAAAAGATTAATATTCATTAGTATGCCATTGCAGGGGTTTGTATATAAATCCGCCAATAAAATTATTTTTATTTATCTTCTACTACTGACCTATTACATAACGATTCAAAAATTGAAATATTACATGTCTTCCTAATACGTAAATTTCTGCGCTTTGTGAGTTGCATTATAAATTTTCTTAGACCACTAGCGACAAACTTTTAAATCTAAAAAGCAGAATAATGAATATTTCATATTTTGATATTAAAATTTTAATGTAAAAAAATAAAGATCATTTTTTAAAAACTTTATTTAAGATTATCCACTTATTGACCCCCCATTTAATATTAAGATATCATACATTAGTTTGGTGTTTCTTATTCAATCATGAAATCAAAATCCTCAAGCCAATATTTTTCTCAATTAATTAGTAGTTTTACATAAGATTTATCAAGTCAGAACATTAATAAAAAATTACAAAATTTTCTAAATGTTAAAGAAATTAGTATCTATACCGTTTTAAAAAGTATGCATGAATCATTCATTCAATCAAATTGTTGTTAAAAAATCTTAAAATTGCACATTTGATTACCATAACTTAATAAAAGAACTTTTAATTTTAGATGAGGAAAACTATTTTGAAAAAAAGCACCAAATTTAATTAATTAAAGGTGAAGAAAATGAATTTAATGAGAATATTTCTTCCTTATACAAGATCGATGCTTCAATCCCCTAATCGATTGGTTCCTATTGGGACGCTGTGATAGGGATTCACGCATCACTCTCATCATTTTTACTCCTTCTACTGTCTGTAAATTAGACTTGACACACATAAACATGTGTACAAATCAACAACGATCTGGCCCTTTCAGGCAGTCCATAGGAATACATGTACTAGGGAGATTCTAACACTCTCACAAGGTTTGTCGTCAATTTTATAATATTTCTTTTATTATATTTTCTTTCCCATATTGTACGGAATTAAGTTCCTTCATTTTTCCTATTCCTTTTCAATGTTAACCTTAAAGGTAATATGCAAAAACGTTACCTTTTTAAAGATTAAGAGTTGAGATTAAATCAAGCATTATATTATTTATGTTAATTCTTTAAATATATGTCATAATTCAATATATTTCAGCTTAAAACTATACTGAATTTTATTTATTTTTAAACTTAAAAATAACATAGCTAGAAAATTTCACATTTTTTTTTTGATGGTCAAGGTAAATCCTTGAGCTATAAATGAATCTATGTTGATGCTTGCATGCTAGACAGAAAGAAAAGTTAAGTCATCATGTTTATCAGAGAGCTTGGTTGTTAGATCATCATTAACGTCTTTTTCAAGGTCAGGTCCTGTAGTGTCTTTTATCTCAAGCTCACCAGGATACATCGTATCGACACAAGAATGATAATTTCCATTGTTAATTGACAAATGATACGTCGTCGATATACCCTAAATGTCGAGTTGAAGGCCACAGAAAGTGTTTTCTTCTTTTCATGCATAAGATTTTGCACAAATTCTGCTTCATATGAATACAAAATACATTACAAATTCATATGAATTTAAAACACTACAAAAACAAAATAACTGTAGATAAAAACTATAAAAGGTTTAATTTCAACCACAAAATAACAGAAATGATCAACAGGGCCATAAAACGTCTATTTTTTTTTTTTACTTTTTCCCTATTGATTAAAAATAAAATTAATGTCATCTTGTGATAAGAATTTTGAATATGTCTAAACTTAAGCGGGAGAGGATATTTAATGAATTAAGTACTCCTTGATTGTTTTTAAAAAGTGGCTTGAGTACTTTGGTTTATCCGGAAATCGAAAAAGTTGAGACTGTTTTCCTTTACAAAAGGTATTCAGTCGCATTTTTTAAAAATTAATAAATTAAATAGTTTTGTTGAAACCTTCAAACTACAGTAATTCAAGAAAAAGAGTTTGAAGAAGATGAGGCTGCTTTTTCTTTGCAAAAGGTATTCAATCGCGCAATATATAATATATATTTTTATTTTCAATACTTTTGTTGAAGCCATCCAACTAATTCACGAAAAACAAGTTCGAAGTAGATGAGTTTCTTTTTCTCTACAAACGGTATTCAATCGCAATATTTAAAAAAATAATCACCAAATAAATAGTTCTGTTAAAGCCATCCATCTTTTGCAAGAAAAACAGTCCATTTGGAAGTGAGATTCTGGCAATGACTTTGTGTATGAAGACCTAGAATCCCTGGATTTCTGTTATCGGTGGGTGTCGTGTTACAGGTAACTAGAGGGTCAATAATTCCTCTTATCTCCTCCCGTCACAGGTAAAAACGACTTATCAGTGACGAGAAAGGTTCCAGCATCAGATTATTAATTTCTCCCGCTCAATTAAATGACCACGCGTTCGATGTGTATTGAGAAATGTCGTACTTTTGTGAGTGTTGAGTGTTCACCCTTCATTCTTTGTGTTTATCGTAGGATTGACTGATTAGTTCTAATGTCATGGAGTAAAAATATTGATTTTTAGCGGGAAAAGTATTTTGTGTTCATGCAAATAATTAAGTGAGGTGTGTCAGTAAATAAAAAAACCGCCAATTTTGGTTTCTTTTTCTTTCAATGTAAGCGGTGTATAATTAAAAATGTTTTTGTCGTTTTTCCAAGCTAAATCTTTTTGCAATTTAAAGTACACTCTTAAATATCCTTCTGAATTAATACAGAATACAAGAGTATTCCTTTTAATTATTGATTTGAAAAGGAAATCTAATTTGTGTGAAAATTAAAATTATAGTATCAAATGTCAAACAGGAGCCAGGGTAAGAGTTTATCTATTAAAATAAGAACATTTGATTTTATCCAACATTGTTTAATGTTCTTCTCCCATATTTTCTATCTACTTATAAAAACTTTTCAAACATTTTCATTTCAAAACCTAATATAATTACATCAACAAAGGATATACTTTAAATATAGGGATTATACCTATAATATTTACATGAATTGAAACGTATAATACATTAACTTTATTTCATTCTTGAATTCCAAAACATATTGAAAGAATAAACAAGAAAACCTAAGTTTTTTATGAAATACAAA